GTTTTAAAAAATCCCAAAAATGGGATTTTTTAGTTTTTTGCCTATTATATCCATACCAGGGGCGGGGTTATCGAAACCCGTTACAAAATGATTAAGAACATATTGGGTCATATAAAACAGGTCACTATAATTTGATATCGACTATGCGATTTGAGAATTTTTGCTCAAAATTTAATTTTCCATAAAAAATAGGGTTTTTTTGGATGGACCTGGTCCCCTCGGTATCAAAAATTTTTAGGTTTTGTTTCATTTATCGTACTTTATGTAAAGTCAGCTTTCCAAAAAGTATAAATTCTATATACATCTTCTTAGAAACTTTTTAGATAACTTAAAAAGAAAAAGATACTTTTTTCCCAAAAAAATGACAAAAAATCGCCTTTTTTTAATTTTTTAAATTTAAATGCCTATAACTTTGGACTCAGTCATGATTTTTACATAATTCTTTCACTGCTTGGTATATAAACTTGTTGTTAAGCAAATAAAAAAAAATGGCGAAAATCGGAAATATTTGGACCTGCTATTATCAAAAAAACTAAAGTAAGGACGGTAAAAATTTTAAAATTTTAATATTCAAATGCGAATATCTCCTAAACTATAAGAGATAATTTACTGCTACGACGACATTTTTTATAGTGCTCGATGAGGAGATTCTATATACGAAATTTTTTTTAAATCGGAACTCAAATGAAGAAATAGGATCGTTTTAAAAATTTAACATAGCCGAGGTGTCCTAATTTGAGGACCCCCCGCCGGGCCCCTGGTTGGCCTATAAGGTCCAAATTCAAAACCTAAACTCGACAACACCTCCTCTTTGTGCACACCAAATTTCATTAAAATCGGATTAACCGTTTAGAAGTTACCGAATTATTTCCCTCTTTTTTTTTTCCTATACCACTGTGTGGTGTAGGGTGTCAAATAGTTGGCCTTATCTGACTATACATTCTTACACCTTTACTATACATTCTCACGTTTACAGTAAACGTGAAAACTAAAATTCATTCTTTTTTTCATATATTTTATGAGTAAAAATTTAGTTTGAATTCAGATTAGAAAAAAAATTGAAAATATTTAAAACAATATAAAACAGTTTGTTCTGTAGTACTTAGTTCAAAAGTATAACTTTTGAGTTATCACAGTCTTATAATAAATAAACTATATGTATCTTTAAAAACCAGTGTATACAACTAGTAAAAAAGATTTGGAAATTAAATAGTTAAATCATTGAGAATGTGTCAGCAATTATCTGAAAGATATAAATAAATACATTATACATATTTACATTACAAAACGCTATATTGGCACTACTTAATATTCTCAGAGTTTGTTTCAAAGTTGGTGGTTATTTTTGTCTAAACGCAAATACGTTCTATATGTATAACAGTGTTTCTGATGACGAGTCACAAACTATGTTTCAAAGTTGATGACTCTAATAAGATCGATAGTAGCGAGAAAAACATATGGAGTAATATAGCTAAATGTTTGCAAAAACAAGAGAGAATAAACAGCAGGAATGGAAATGATAAAATGTGAAATAGGTATGTATGTATAAAGTAACAACATTTTGTGATCACGAGATTTTTGCATCATTCTATTTCAGTTTGAATGGAAAAACTCAAAACTCTTTGACAAATCAATACAACTTTCCCCTCCGGTACATTGTAATTTATCACTCACTTCTGCAAAATCAACAAACTATTAATCTAAAGAGCGATTATATGTTCTCATAACTATAGAATAAATAGTTGTATAATTTTTATAATCACTTTATATTTTATAATCACTTTATTGTGGTATTCAGAGGTCCGTTATATAGAAATAGGGTTAAATATTAATATTTCAATATCTTAAAACAAATATTTAAATTGCAAAATTTTAAAAACAAAATACTATTGTTTTGAAAATGTTACTATTTACTGTCGACAATTGTCACGGGTTCAAAAAATTTCCTCAACAAGTTTCGTATAAACACTAAATAACAAGTTTAGACCCACCCTAGACAAATAAATATTATAAGGGCAGGTCTACTAAATACACATAATTTGACATGCGTTGATTAAAAAATAATTCACAATCCGTGTCGTAGGGTTGTATCGTTGTATGTAATAATACTTTTAAAGCAAAATTTTTCGTTAATAAAAAATAAAGATAATAAAATATAACGACTTACAATGATACAACTCTACAACACCGATTGTGAATTGTTCAAATATACTTATATAAGAAAGAAATATATTTATATATGGAATGTGTGTTATATACCAAGAAATGAATTTATACTTTTAAGATCTGCACAATTAATGCAGTTTTAAAGACAACAAACAAAATAATAAAATTAATAAATAAAAGTCAATTATATGGTATTTGTGGATTCATTGGAAATATGCCAAAACACATTACATTCTACAAATTTCCATCTCTGCATCATTCCATACGTAAATGCATACCAACAAACAAACTACAGATTTGCTTTAAATATGTGAAAGATTATAATGATGGTGATCGTTTGCGAAGACACATCTTAGACACTACTCGGAGATAGCGATTTTGAGGGAGAAGGACTTTTTATACCCTACACCACTTTAGTGGAGAGGATATATTGGGTTTGTGTTATACCCACCTTAATGTATACCAATTGGCTTAGATCGTTTTCTGGGTCGATTAAGCCATGTCCGTCCGTCTGGCTGTCCATATAAACATTGTGCGCAAGAAAATTAGATAAAATTTGGCACATATGCTTTTTCTTTTTTGCCTCAAAGACAAACCCTATCGAAGATTGTTAAAATCGGTCCATCCAGTCCCCATACAACAGAACTCCCGAAAAGGGCCTTTCAGCTCATAAGTTTGTTAAATATACTCGTATCTCGATAAAAAGTGGCACAAATAAGTTTTATACAAGCTTGCCAAATTTTATAAAGATCGGGCCTCATTTGACCCTACTCCCCATACAAAGTCCCTTTCAGAAAATAAATGTCCAAAATTTACTTATAAACACTAATATCGCTATGAAATGCAGCACAAATAAATATTATATAAATATAAATTTAATTACAAAATTTTATCGGGATTGGTCCACATTTGTTCATAGCCCCCATGTAAAGCCTCTTTCAGAAAATTAGTTCTTCTTCCATAAATGTATCGGAACCAAGGCAATATTGAAGATAAATGCTTTACTATGAAAAATAATTCACATTTAATATTTATAACTGGTGTAGGGTATAATATGGTCGGCCACGCCTAAATTTCTTACTTGTTTTATGGTGGTTATAGGGTTGCAAAATGTAAACACAAAGTTGTACTGACATTAAAGGAAATATACTGTGAATAAAGGTAAAAATGTTTTTAATAAGTTAATGCTAAAGACTTCATGTGACTGGCTTGCGTGTGAATATTTCCCGAGAATGTGTTTGATGTGATCAAAAATGTGTAACTGCTGAAAAGAATCAACGTTTAGCACTACAGAGACATAATTTCCTGATTTCTGAAGGATGCTTTAATCTTGTGATATCATTGTGATGTCAAATAAATGGTTGAACACCCTTTATGTGACGTGGTGTTACAGGGCAAAGCTATGTGAATAAATGGTGGCCTCCGGTAAGTTAGTGTGGCATCCGGTAGGTAGACCAGAGGTGGTGGGTTCGATTCCCACGTGACGCACTAGTTAAGGAGCGCACAACAGGACCGATAGAGGCCTAGGTGTATATCTTCGGATTTGATGTATATACATCCTCCTTTCAAACTAACTAACTAACTATGTGAATAATTCATAAACGATCCACACTCTTAGGCCTATCGTACGCCCCATTCTTGAGTTAAAATAAAAAACATCAAAAAGTCTTCGAAAATTGTATAATTGAGAGCATAACCTGCTCCGAAGTCAAACGAGTAATAGAAACTAGCCATACATTTTCAACTAGCCCCTAAGGGCACACATCATAAACATTATTTGATGCGAATTTATTCCATTCCATATATTTTAGTATATAGAAAATTGCAACTTCTATCAACAACTGTAATCAAACTATACAAGATCAGATAAGGAGAATGTTAGATCAATAAAAAGTTGAAATCCTGTTATATCTAATTTCCCCATGGACTATGTATCACTTTCTCAATCAATTCCAGGTATGTGAGTCCATTGTATTTATTTTAATGGGGCCATGATTTCATCTAACTCTACAAAAAGTTCTAATTTTTAGTTACATTTTGGGGAATTATTCCCTTTAGATTTCAACTTTCTGAGTACCTTCTTTGGAGATTTGTCGTATACCCCTTCTGGGTATCCAATAATATCAGCTTTATAGATCTTTTTCTATAATATAAGTCCAAATATTTCTTATCATGAGAGAAACTTTTATAAAAATTTCTCATATATTCTCTATCTGGGATCAAATCGTACCTTCAACAGATAGACAGATGAACATGTCTGGATAGTCTTAAAATTTTATAAAATTGACATCTTTGTAAAAGATTCCATGAGGATCACTCCGCTGTATAAGGCAAATTTGGATTATGGCAAATCCAATTAAAATATCAGCAGCTGTTCTAAGTCTTTTCGTATAGTTAGAAAAAAAACTGTTACAACATTGAGATTGTCATATATAATGGAAGATTATTGGCGACATGTCTTAAATTCTCCTGCGGATGGAAATGTTTGCCGGGATTTTTTTGTATATAAAACAAATGTACATTTGGGTGTATGTGAAAACATGTGAGTTTGGCAAAATTTCTGTTTTGTGTATTTTACTGATCATTTTTAATCGGTTCGCTGGGCGTACTGGGGATTCTTGGTTCGACAACAGCAGCAGCAGCAACAGCAAACATTTAGTAGAATGTTTATATGTAGGTATGTACATATGAATTTATGTACATACAAACACTATATGTGTAAATTGTGTATGAAATGTTTGTTGTAGTTTTATTTTGTGCTTTTTGTTGTTGTTGTTGTTGTATACTTCTATTTTTCTTTCTTTCGTTTAAAACGTGCTGAGCAAAGAAACAGTAAATCATTACTGTGAGAAACGTGAAAACGGCAACACATACGATCAAGTTCAAGTTTTGTTTGTTGATACTTTTTATTTTTTTTTTCTCTCGCCTTTGTTGTTTTTCTATAAACTTTTTGTTGTTGTTTTACTTGTTGTTATAATTATTTTTGTTTTATTGTTATTATTATTGATTTTTGTTGTTGTTAAAAAAAGAGAATAAATAAACGAAGAAAAAAGAAGCATTACAATTGTTGTTGGTGTCCATTGCTAATGGAAACAAACCTACCATCATACATGCATGCAGCAATATTATTATGGTTAGTGTAAAATCAATTGCAAATGTTTTTTATTAAAAATTTTAATTAAAACAAATTAAAAAATAATTAATTAAAACAAAATAAGCAAGTGTATATAATTAAAATAAATAAATATTGAAGAAATTTTGCAAAAATAATGTGTTTGTAAATTAAACTTAAATTAGCCGCAATTGCTGACCAATTCAAAAAAAAGCTAATTATTACTCGTAAACAATTAAAGTGTCAAAAAAGTCTTAAATTTTTTTTGGTGACCAGACAAATACACATAAATTATAAATAACTTGAGGCAAAACAGAAAAGAACCAACATTTGCAAACCTACGTCATTGCATTCCAACAACCACACTGATCAGTGATCAACCCAACCAAATAAACATCTCCTCATCAAATAGTTATAGATCATACAATGTAGAAATATTACGACCACGACGACGTCCATAGTAGTACCCCCAATGAACAATAAAAACAAATGAACATGACTCTTAATAAATAAGTACTGGTGATATTGCCAACCAGCCCGAGCTGATGATGAATCTTAACGAGTGGAAAGTTTTAAATTTTTTTTTATTTTACAAATTCTTTAAAAAAAATGAAAATAATTTAAAAAATAAAAAAAAAAAACTAGAAATTTATTCATCACGCGACTGTAATTTGCAAAACTAGTTATAAAACAAATATTGAAAATTAATTAAAAAAAGAAGAGTAAAAAAATCACAGAAAAAACAAACGTGCAGAAATATAATATTTGTTAATTATTCATAATACTTAGATTGTGCATACATACATACATACGTACTTGCATACAGTGTAACGAAAAAGTGTTATGGTTAAATAAAATTTAATAAGTATGTAGGTATTTAAGGAAGTAGATGTAATTTCTTTCGAATCGCTTTTCAAAAAATAGCAAAAGAATAAAAAAATATATATTAATTACATACTTGTTATTAAAATATTCATATGCATTATTATATTCAATTAATTTTTTTTTTGCAAAATTGAAATGAGATCATCCCAAATTAGTATAATCATTTAGCTTTCAAATATTAATTAATATTTATTTCTTTTCACATTGTATAACTTGTATATCAGCAAAGCATTTTTTACAAATTTTCGATAAATACATTTAATTAAAAAAAATTAAAAATTTTCTATTTACAGAAAATGTTAGATAAATTTTCTTTGTACAAAATTTTCGATAAATCTTGAATTTATAGTAAATTCTTAGAGTTCTAGTTTAAATTCAATTTAGACTAAAATCTCAAGTAAGTTCTGTTCTAGTTTCGATTCAAGTCAATTTAAAGTAATTTCAGTTCTAGTTTAGTTCTAGCTAAGTGCTGGTTGAGTTCTAGCTGAGTGCTGGTTGAGTTCTAGTTCAGCCCTAGTTCAGTTCTAGTTCTAGTTTCGATTCAATTCAATTTAAAGTAATTTCAGTTCTAGTTTAGTTCTAGCTAAGTGCTGGTTCAGTTCTAGTTCGGTTCTAGTTCAGTTCTAGTTCAGTTCTAGTTCAGTTCTAGTTCAGTTCTAGTTCAGATCTAGTTCGGTTCTAGTTCAGTTCTAGTTCAGTTCTAATTCAGTTCTAGTTCGGTTCTAGTTCAGTTCTAGTTCAGTTCTAGTTCGGTTCTAGTTCAGTTCTAGTTCAGTTCTAGTTCAGTTCTAGTTCAGTTCTAGTTCAGTTCTAGTTCAGTTCTAGTTCAGTTCTAGTTCAGTTCTAGTTCAGTTCTAGTTCAGTTCTAGTTCAGTTCTAGTTCAGTTCTAGTTCAGTTCTAGTTCAGTTCTAGTTCAGTTCTAGTTCAGTTCTAGTTCAGTTCTAGTTCAGTTCTAGTTCAGTTCTAGTTCAGTTCTAGTTCAGTTCTAGTTCAGTTCTAGTTCAGTTCTAGTTCAGTTCTAGTTCAGTTCAGTCCTAGTTCAGTTCTAGTTCAGTTCTAGTTCAGTTCCAGTACAGTTCTAGTTCAGTTCTAGTTCAGTTCTAGTTCAGTTCAGTTCTAGTTCAGTTCTAGTTCAGTACTAGTTCAGTTCTAGTTCAGTTCTAGTCAGTTCTAGTCAGTTCTAGTTCAGTTCTAGTTCAGTTCTAGTTCAGTTCTAGTTCAGTTCTAGTTCAGTTCTAGTTCAGTTCTAGTTCAGTTCTAGTTCAGTTCTAGTTCAGTTCTTGTTCAGTTCTAGTTCATTTCTAGTCAGTTCTAGTTAGTTCTAGTTCAGTCTAGTTCAGTTCTAGTTCCAGTTTCTAATTCAGTTTAGTTCAGTTTCTAGTTCAGTTTCTAGTTCAGTTCTAGTTCAGTTCTAGTTCAGTTCTAGTTCAGTTCTAGTTCAGTTCTAGTTCAGTTCTAGTTCAGTTCTAGTTCAGTTCTAGTTCAGTTCTAGTTCAGTTCTAGTTCAGTTCTAGTTCAGTTCAGTTCAGTTCTAGTTCAGTTCTAGGTCAGTTCTAGTTCAGTTCTAGTTTTCAGTCTAGTTCAGTTCTAGTCAGTTCTAGTTCAGTTCTATTTAAGTTCTAGTTCAGTTTCTCGTTCAGTTCTAGTTCCGTTTCTAGTTCAGTTCTAGTTCAGTTCTAGTTCAGTTCTAGTTCAGTTCTATTCAGTCTAGTTCAGTTCTAGTTCAGTTCTAGTTCAGTTCTAGTTCAGTTCTAGTTCAGTTCTAGTTCAGTTCTTCAGTTCTAGTTCAGTTCTAGTTCAGTTCTAGTTCAGTTCTAGTTCAGTTCTAGTTCAGTTCTAGTTCAGTTCTAGTTCAGTTCTAGTTCAGTTCAGTCCTAGTTCAGTTCTAGTTCAGTTCTAGTTCAGTTCCAGTACAGTTCTAGTTCAGTTCTAGTTCAGTTTAGTTCAGTTCTAGTTCAGTTCTAGTTCAGTTCTAGTTCAGTTCTTGTTCAGTTCTAGTTCAGTTCTAGTTCAGTTCTAGTTCAGTTCTAGTTCAGTTCTAGTTCAGTTCTAGTTCAGTTCTAGTTCAGTTCTAGTTCAGTTCTAGTTCAGTTCTAGTTCAGTTCTAGTTCAGTTCTAGTTCAGTTCTAGTTCAGTTCTAGTTCAGTTCTAGTTCAGTTCTAGTTCAGTTCTAGTTTCTAGTTCAGTTCTCTAGTTCAGTTCTAGTTCAGTTCTAGTTCAGTTCTAGTTCAGTTCTAGTTCAGTTCTAGTTCAGTTCTAGTTCAGTTCTAGTTCAGTTCTAGTTCAGTTCTAGTTCAGTTCTAGTTCAGTTCTAGTTCAGTTCTAGTTCAGTTCTAGTTCAGTTCTAGTTCAGTTCTAGTTCAGTTCTAGTTCTGTTCTATTTCAGTATTAGTTCAGTTCTAGTGCTATAAAAAAAATGTAAAAAAGTTTTCGTTTTTTTGTTACACTGTGTTTGCACATAGCATGTATATTTCTGTTATTACTTTTTAGTAATGTATGTTAAAATTTAAGTGTTTTGAGTTAATAATTACAATATATAAATATTATTTATTTATATTTTAGTTTAACTTCGTACTCAAAACAATAAACAAAACAATACACCGCATACGATAAGGGTGAGTAATATTTTTTTATTATTTGTATATTTTGTCACTCAAATTCTTTTGAAATTTTACGTTACACATATGTTCAGGGTTGCCAGAAAATGTTATTGTTATTTCCTCAATGAGCAGGGAATGAACCGTAACATTATTTAAGGAAGTACATAATTTTGGGTGATTTTTTTTTTTTAAATAATAGGTGATTTTTTTGAACATATTTTGAATTTCAAGTTCTACTTTGGGATTTTTTTCTCTTTAATTAAGGAAGTGTGCTATTTTTTTAAAGTTTTCATGCAATTCTTGTTTAATTCAATTTAGTTCTTTTGTTGGATATCTGAACTATAGCATATGTGACAACCTATAATTACAGTTCTCCCTTTGTATTCAGTTTTCAGATAAAATATTTCATTTACATTTTTTTCTAACATCATCAGTGACTTTTATCTTTACGTCATACCCTTCGATTGTTTGTGAATGTGTTTTAAAATAACGATAAACTGAAATTAATTGCTCAATAACTGCTCATTTTTTTATAGAAATAGAATTTTTAATAAATTGCTAAGACTTATTATGTACTATCCCTCTGATAAAATTTCACAATAGTCAGTATTTATTGGTATAGTAAATGACATAAATATTGATTGGATAATTAGTAGTTAAAAATAGATACTGAAGTAGACACACTGTAAACCCTACATTTATAAACTGGCGCCTAAAAGTAAATCCTAATATTAATTAAGTACACATTTAGGTCATGAGATAAAAGTTAGGTTGTCCAACATTTCAAATTATTGTCATATAATATCGCCAAATTTATTGTTAACCGCGAAATATGGTAAATAAAACCAATATTTTTGTACTGGAAACCACTCACATAGTAAGTTTACTTTCCCTTGGGGTTCTTACAGTTGTTTTAGTGAATTGTTTTTTTAATAAACATAGACTTTACTTTTTTAAAGCTAGATTTTTTACAATATCTTCACTTTTTTTGTATCTACGAAATAAAACAAAATCAAAAAGTTCATTGAACTCGTATTTTAGCATTTGAAATAACCAACAGCTTAAAACATACATATATATAATAAGAAAACAAAAACCTCATGAACATGATTCGCTTCATTGCATTCGATATAGATACAATAATAAATTAAAAGTTCTAAAACACACATAGATACCAACCCACGTAGTATTTGTTGGTTAATAACGATTTTCTAATACCGTACAATGATGTTTACGTTTATGGGTGGTGTTGTGTACTTAGATAGTTGTATTTATCAATAAATGTGACAAAAGTCTATGGAAAAATAGTAAACTGATTGATATGTGGATTTTAAAATTAAGGTGTAACAATTGCCATGGTTTTTCGAAAATTTTACTTAATACTTGTAATGTAAATTATTTTGTTATCTGCATATATTTGAATAGAAAAATCTATACTATTTCTTTAAGATTTATCTACCTAAGCTGTTGATTTTACTTTTAGCATACCATTGAAAATGATAACTTTGAAACACGTGAGGTAGTAAAAGAGAGTTTAATATGGTAAAAGCAACTTTTTTAGTTCACTTTATAAATATGTCTGCATGTATTTATGTAATTACACCCACATTACATACCACATTAGTGGGGAAGGTATATTGGGTTTGTGCAGATGTTTGTAACACAAAAACATATTCGTCCACATTAAAGTATACCAATCGCTAGACTAGACTATAGACTAGACTATAGACTAGACTATACACTAGACTATAGACTAGACTATAGACTAGACTATAGACTAGACTATACACTAGACTATAGACTAGACTATAGACTAGACTATAGACTAGACTATAGATTAGACTATAGACTAGACTATAGACTAGATTATAGACTAGACTATAGACTGGACTATAGACTAGACTATTTACTAGACTATAGACTAGACTATTTACTAGACTATTTACTAGACTTTAGACTAGAATATAGACTAGGCTATAGACTAGACTATATAGACTATAGACTACATAGACTAGACTATAGACTAGACTATAGACTAGACTATAGACTAGACTATAGACTAGACTAGACTAGACTATAGACTAGACTATAGACTAGACTATAGACTAGACTATAGACTAGACTATAGACTAGACTATAGACTAGACTATAGACTAGACTATAGACTAGACTATAGACTAGACTATAGACTAGACTATAGACTAGACTATAGACTAGACTATAGACTAGACTATAGACTAGACTATAGACTAGACTATAGACTAGACTATAGACTAGACTATAGACTAGACTATAGACTAGACTATAGACTAGACTATAGACTAGACTATAGACTAGACTATAGACTAGACTATAGACTAGACTATAGACTAGACTATAGACTAGACTATAGACTAGACTATAGACTAGACTATAGACTAGACTATAGACTAGACTATAGACTAGACTATAGACTAGACTATAGACTAGACTATAGACTAGACTATAGACTAGACTATAGACTAGACTATAGACTAGACTATAGACTAGACTATAGACTAGACTATAGACTAGACTATAGACTAGACTATAGACTAGACTATAGACTAGACTATAGACTAGACTATAGACTAGACTATAGACTAGACTATAGACTAGACTATAGACTAGACTATAGACTAGACTATAAACTAGACTATTGACTAGACTATAGACTAGACTATAGACTAGACTATAAACTAGACTATTGACTAGACTATAGACTAGACTTTAGACTAGACTATAGACTAAACTATAGACTAGACTTTAGACTAGATTATAGACTAGACTATAGACTAGATTATAGACTAGACTTTAACGCTCATTGCTGGGTTAAAAATACGAGTAAGCAATGAAATTCGACACACATAAGTTCCATGCGAGCCAAAATATATCTATCAAATTTTATGTGGATCGGTCCATAATTGACCCTATCCCCATATAAGGTCCCCTCAAGATAATTACTCTAACGCTTATTACTTTCATAAAAATACGAGTGTATAGATGAAATTTGACATAAGTAAGTTTCTTACAAGCCAAAACCTAAGAAATATTTATAGGAACGTAAATCTTCCAACCGAATTTAATGCGAAAAGTGTCGGGAACAGATATTCGATGTAAACATGTTTTATATGGTCCAATTATGGACCGATCCAGATACAATTTAGTAAAGAGGCTTTGTTTCGTCAGGGACTTTCTTATGTCAAATTTCATCGCTATACTCGTACTTTTAAAACATATTTGCCCGCTAAAGCTGTTTTTCGGGGCTCCACTTGTAGGAGGGCTATCCGAAAATGTGTACCGATATTGCCCATTTTCAATACAAACCTTATCTATAAAGAATATTTGTGGAAAATTTCCACTATCTAACTCATTCCGTTCGGACTCTATCGTGCTTTCAACAGACAGACGGAAGGACATGGCTAGATCGTCTTAGAATTTAATAAGGACCCAGAATATATATGACCAATAATTCAATGTGTTACAAACGCAATGACAAAATCAATATAACCCCCATCTTTTTTGATGGTATTAAAGTACTAAATTTTCCATGCCTAATACACATCAATTTAGGGGTATTCCGATGGACACCCTAATATACATATGTGAGATAGCTCGATACATGCTCACAATGTACTTATAGCTGAAGTAGGGAACATATCGTTGGGCACGACTAACTAACATTATTACCTCTATATTAAAAGAATATTAATACTACTTATTGTTAAATAATACCTTCACAGAATTCCTTCAATTACTAAATTAAATCAGCTTTCGTTAATGCATCAATAAATTAATTACATCTACCTCTCATATGTATCTTATAATATTTTACATCACAAATGTTTGTACTAATTAAATAATTCACATATAATTGATATTATTAGCAGTTATTTTTAATTGTTCTATAACAAAAAAAAAAAAAACTGAAAGTTATTTTAATGAAAATATTTAAGCGAACTCGTATGTAATTTTATAACAAGAAAAAAACAACTAAAAAACGGTAACAATATTGTAAATATAAAAAAACGGAAGTAGATATTCATTTAGAAAAACTATCATTTTTGAAATTGTATCTAAACAACTACAACACTTTTCGAATAAGAGTGAGAAGAATGAGTGTATGTACATTTTACAAATCACAATTAAATACTCTAGCTAGATTTTGTTTATTTATTATTAGCAAATATTTTATTTGTATATTTTCCATTAATAACAAAATGTTTAGAGATTGCGGTTGTTTTCATCAGTTAACAGCTTCCATTAGACAATTGTTTTCAAAAACAAACATACATATGTATTTGTATATGAGCCTGTGACAATATTTCAAAATACCCAATAAACATTTTAGCTTAAAAATAAATATAAAGAAGCTTGGTGGCTTGTGATGATACTCTGTTTCTATTCAAATGTTTGATGTAAATTTTTAGCACTGCTTCGATTATTACTATTACCATCGAATTGTTTATTGGTCTATTTATCTATACCTCAATAAAAATGCTCATGAAAAATATATAGTACATTTTTGCGTCTAAGTTTTTTTGTGCATGGAAATAGTTTTCCAAACAATTTGTGTGTTTAACAGAGACAGGCAGACGGATGGACAGACAGACATACTTCTGACAATTTTCATGGCATTTTTTTTTTTTTTTTAAATATTGTCATTGTAAGTGCGCAATTAAATCAATATAAAAGCTAAATCGTTATGCAGAAATTAAAATGAATAAAACAAATTTATTATATTGTTTATTTTTATAAATTGTCATTGAAATTGAAAATAGAACAGAAACTTTAACACCCAATATCAGGTTGTATATGAAGCTGAATTTAAAATTCTGCAGTTTTTTTTTTTTTTTTTTTTTTTGTTCAAAACAACTTTAAGTTTTATTAAAATAGAAAAAAAATTGGCATGAAGTTTTTAAACGTTTAATATGTAAACGATGTATAAAATTTTCTATTTAGAAAAATTCTCTTTTTTCCGAATTTTTTCTTATCTC